CCAGGGGAGGCTGAGTTTTTGCTGGAAGGGCAATCATTTTATTCTTAGGTTGAGAACCCAAGTGGACAATGCAGAGTGGCTGAGGATAGGGAGAGCAGAGCTCGTGGGCACGCTGTCAGCCCAGTTTGCACACAGGGGATGAGAAAAATGACAGCTGCCGTTGATCAACCTCCTCCTCTGTCAGCCCCTTTTCATACGTTTTGTTCATTTAATCTGCTAATAGCCTTTTAAGGTAGACGTTATCCCTGCTTTATTGCAGTTGAAGAAAGAAGGTCAATCCTAATAGTTCAGGATGGGAATAATTTTATACTCCTGTCTGCTCCGCAGCTCCCCTCCTCCCAGAGCCCGCATGTGCTTGAGACTTTATTTGATCATAAAGAATGGAATTCAAGCGACTGAAGCACCATCCGGGTGAATGTATTCAGAAGTCTCCGCTTTCTCTTGCTCCTCTCATGGTCCTTACCTCCTGCTTACCCAGCACTGGGCAACAGTGTTCTGATGGCAGCAGCTTTGTTGCTAGATGGGGCAGCCATGGCCCAGGAGGGGTGGGCCCTGGGCCTCCAGGAAGGCACACGTTCCCTTGGCCCTCGGGGTGTCACAGTGCCAGCTGCCAAACAGTGGGACAAGCTTCTAGTGACAAGTCTTCTGGATTTCGCATAGAACACAGCAGGTACACACGAGTGGCCTCCTGTTGCTGAAGCCTGGTGAGTCCTGCTGCCACCCAGCAATGCCACGCCGCTCAGGTGTGCTTTGACTCTCAGCCATGGTCCGACTCTTGAGACCCCATGGACTGTAGCCTCCAGGCTCCTCTGTCCATGGGATTTCCCAGGCAAGAATACTGGAGTGGGTTGCCATTTCCTACTCCAGGGGATCTTCCTGACCCAGGGATCGAACCTGCATCTCTTTCTCCACTGCATTGGCAGACAGATTCTTTACCTCTGTGCCACCAGGGAAGCCCATATTTGCTCAGGAGCTGGCCTCAAACTGATCTGCTGCGCGTAGGCAGATTCCCTGCCAGCTGGATGTGGAGTCTCTTTTTCTTTGCCCAGGTCAACTTTGACTTCTATTTATTTCACTCAAGTGACTTTGGAGTGAATTCTCACAAATTCTGTAGGTGGCAATCAGGAAAAAACCCCTTCCAACTGATCATTGAATGAATAAGCAGTTTAGTTTAGCTTGGTTCTTTTATAAAAACATCTTCCTCCTTCATTCTTTTAACTTAAAAAATATGAAGTACACATACAGAAAAAGTCTGTATATATACAAAAAGAAGTATATATACATTCAATTATGAGAACAGTAATCAAGCAAGATCTTGTGAAACTACCACCCACATTTAGAAATTGCCATTCCAGTGTCTTAGAAGCCTTCTGTACATCCTTCCTCAATTGCCAACCCCTCCTTCTCTCAAAAGTAACGTTACTGATTTTTGTGATAATTGTTACACTGATTTCCTTGACTACTTCTACTGCCTATCTTCATGTTTAAATGGAGTCATATTGCATGTGTTCTTTGCTATACTTTCTTTTTGCTTGGTTATGTGTTAGTCACCCAAGCTGATGAATGCAGCTGTAGTTACTTTCACTGATGAATAAATACTCACTTAGATTAATATACCATAACTTATTTTCCCAGCCCATTATTGATGGATAGTCATCTCATGTCCAGCTTTGTTATTTTTACGAGCAACACTGCCACAAATATTCTTGTACACATCTCCCCAAAGAGACACATTTGCAAATGTTTATTTGAGAACCATCACCTAGGGAATGGATCATTGTTTTCCACTTGTTCAACCCTACTAGGTTTTATATAATATATCATTTTATAAATTTTCTCATAATTAAAAAAATTAGTTTTCCCCTTATGAATTTTAAAAAGTATTTTTAAAAAGTTAAAACAAATTCTCATATGAATATAGGATGAACATATGTCTAGACTTTCAGTTCAGTTCAGTCACTCAGTTGTGTCTGACTCTTTGTGACCCCATGGACTGCATGGATTGCAGCACACCAGGCTTCCCTGTCCATCACCAACTCCTGGAGCTTGCTCAAACTCCTGTCCACTGAGTTTGGTGATGCCATCCCACCGTCTAGAGTTTAACTCAGTTATTAATGAGGGAATCATTATGATGATCAAGTTTGGTTTAAAGGAGAATTTCAGGAAGGAAATTTACTTTGTTAGTTGGCCAAAGGAATGCTGAAATATGTTGCTAATAGAAAACTGGTTAATGTTCTACAGGGTGATAAAATTATAACCTTGATTTTATCTTTTTTATCAGTCAGAAATACATTAGTTAACATAATTTCAGCGTATCTGGGCTCTAAATCAAATAGAAAAGTCAAACACAAGTGTATTTTAGATAACAATATTTCTTTAGTGAGCTTGTTCAACAGTGACATTAACAGGATATGTGGTCACTCTCTTGCCTGCCTTCTAAGTTTGGGATATTTTTTTCTTAACAATACAGCAATTTGCTCTCAAGTTTATGGTGAGGATCAAATGAAAACATATAAAAATGCTTTGTAAACTGTAAGGTACCAAATACATTTTCTTTATGTTGTTTCACCAAGTCCCCATCGAATCATCTATTGGATTTCATATGGATATAGGAAGGGAGTGTATTATTAAATACCTACTTTTTAAACTATTGTTTTCATCTAATTTAATTCTTACAAAAAGACTGAAAAGACAGTGAATCTGCTTCAGTTTCTCTGTCTTAGAAGATTGGGATAATCGTCGTACCTATCTCATTGGGCTGTTGTGAGAATTAATGAGTAAAATAGACTATTAAAAACAGTACTTGATACACAGTAAATACACCAGACATGTTGGTTTATTGAATTTCTAATCTGTTATTTGAACAAATCTAATGAAGATTATTTTAATAACAATATATTTTATTTTTAGAATTTCCATTTGGTTCTTAGTTTTTTTTTTTATAAATCTGCCCTTATTAAAAAATACTACCTTTACCTCATGTTTTAAGTGCCTTTTGTCTTTAATCTTCTGAAATCTACTTGTATATAGTCTGTCTTCAGTACTATTACATAAAATGTGGCTCTAATCCTATGTTTCCTGTCATATGCTGTGTCTACTAATTCTCACTGGGATTGTTTCTTCATTTTTTTTTCCTAATTAAAAGATTTGCTAGCTGCAATAACCCCACATACACCCTAGCAAAGTAAATCTGAGTCCCTATAGTTAATTTTTCTTTCATTTTTTTGGCTGCACTGCGTCTGTGTGTTGCCGTGTGCAGGCTTTTTCTAGCTGTGGCTAGTGGGGGCTACTCTTTGTTGTGATGCACAAACTTCACATTGCAGTGGCTTCTCTTGTTGTAGAGCACGGGCTCTAAGCGTGTGGGCTTCAGTAGTTGTGGTGTACCAGCTTAGTTGTCCTGCGGCATGTGGAATATTCCCGGACCAGGGATTGAACCCATTCCCTACATTGACAGGCAGATTCTTATCCACTGTACCACCACATAAGTCCTATAGTAAGTTTTTAAAAGCTTACTCGCTAGAGATGACTGAATTCTTCAGACCAATTGGAAGCACAAAAACTTACAGTGCCATCACAGCCCTGTGATGATAATATGTATCCCTGTTTTTCTAGATCACATTTTATTTTATATCACATTTGCAGTTCAGCCCAATTTTCAGCTAGAATTGTCTATGCTGTATTTTTGGTTTATTCTCCTACTCTGGAAACCAGTATTCATTTTGATGAATGTTCCGTTATGGAATGAAACCATAACTCTGGGCCAATTAACACTTTCTGAGTCTTGAGTTTCTCGTCTGTTTAAAAAAAAGGGGGAGGGGGATGATCAAAGGCATATGGAAGCTTAATTGTGCACCATTTGTCTGTTGTAGTGTAAACACTGTATGTCAACTTTTATTGGCATTATTTTTCTTGTACCAATCTTTTCCCAGTAGCATTCCATCCCAAATCAAATACAACCTGATACTATAACTGTTATAACAATATAATCATATTAATTCCTTGTCCTTGCCATAGTGTCCCCCCTAACCTGACGATATCTGGCTCAAACATCCTCATTTTCTGGACAACATCTTTCTTGTTGTCCTATATACACACCATACTCATTCATCTCTCTACTTAAATGGAGTTTTCCAGTCTCCATGACCCCATTCTTTTTAGCCTCTAACCAAAGCATCTCTTCATCCTTCAGAACTGAAATTTCCATATCCTTTATGAAGGCTTTTGACCAAGTGTAATCCACATGGATCTTTTTTGATGCTGGGTTCAATTCCTGGGTTGGGAGGATCCCCTGGAGAAGGAAATGGCAACCCACTCCAGTATTCTTGCCTGGGAAATTCCATGGACTGAGGAGCCTGGCAGGCTTCAGTCCACAAGGTTGCAAGGAGTTAGACATGACTGAAGGACTAATGCTTTTTTCCCCATCTTTTTTGAATGAAAAAGTCTCCATGGAAAGTATCATGGAGTGTAGCTTTCTTAGGATTTGGTGACTTTGCTCCTGGTATGGCCATGGTTGTCTTCCTAACTAGACTGAACATTTTCCTGGGGGAGAAGGGCATGTTCCAGTGTATATATACTACCACTAGGTTCAAGTAAATGTTCTCATGTATTTTTAAAATTTTGGCTTTTTAGCATATGTTTGGTGGGAATGTGGGTGGGTGTAGCTGAGTCCCTCCAGAGGGGGTTTCCCTTTATTTCTCCAAAGTGTTCCTTGGTTCCCCGTGTGGGACCACATCTTTCATAAATTTTTCAGACTGGGGGCTCCTAGATTACTCAGGTAGTATAAATTTCAATCCCAATCCAAGTGAGGGTAGACTTGTGAGTTTCATGGCTCTTTGAAGTAGGAGCTACTGAAATGGAAACTTGGGAATTAAAAAAAAGTTGAATTCTTCAACCTCATGGGTTATCTTGGTTGTTATACTGTGTTAAGCCAAGAACACAAGCTGGGATGTGGTCATTCTGTAGGGTGTGTGATTATTTAGTCATTGTTTTTTTGTCCACAGGAAGAAGTGAGGGAAGGTATACTGCTTCCTCTTGTTCAGAAGCAGAAATTGAAACTAGAAAACTGGGACTGGGAGGTCCTCTGGAGAGACTATTCATTTTTGCTAAAGAGAAACAAGATGAGGAACATCCATGAGTGGAAGGCAAGTAGTCTTCATCCACACATTACTCCCAAGTCCCCAAACCCATCTTCGAACCTCTAAGTCCCCAGTAATCTAGACCCTAACTCAACTCTTCATAGAAGAGAAAATGACCCACTTTCATGGGTGCAGTGTTTTAGAGGAACAGAGAACTTTTATACAGCTTCTGTTTGTTTTTAAAGCAAGACTGGGAGACAGGCAAAATACTCTTATTTCCATTTTTCCATTGTATAGATGAAATGTCTGAGAAACTGGGACTCAGGTTGGTAATGGGGTTTGGTGAAAGCCACACATTCAGATGATATATTCTTTGTCATCTCAGTCTTTGGGATCAGAAAGGTACATAGATCCTGATAATAATGGACTTTTGCTTGTTTTTTATGGAGGTGAAGTTCCCATGACATATCATTAGCCAGTTTAAAGTGAGCAATTCAGTGGCTTTTAGTACATTGACAATGTTGTGCAATCACTAGTTCTGTCTTCAGAGTTTTTCATTATGCCCTCCCTGGGTTTTTGTGCTGAATAAAAGAGCTTATCTGTGTATGAATTCAGCTGAGGGCCTTGCCCCTGGTAGGGGCTGAATGAAGGGAGGCTGTGTTAACAGACTGTCTACCTCTCTCATAAACTTGATAGTGTAGAAAGAGGGATTCTTTCCTAAATGTAGTACCTCGAGAAAATCAGGTTGAGGATATATGAAGTGTTCATGTCCCAATCCTTTTGTAAAATGACATTTCAAAATTGCTCTCTTCTGGGAAACCTTTCCCCAGGAACTCCTATTCTCAAGTGAAGACACATTTACCTACTGCTGCCCAGGACTGAATCACTCGGTCACAGAGCATCTTGTCTTTTGAAAAGAGTTCATCTCTGGGCCGGGCCGTGACATGCACAACGTTGGAGGTACTACAGTACTCTGCCTTGCCCTGAGTACAGAAATGTGCATAACAGATGTGTGTTGGATTGTACCCAGTGGTGGCCGGCAAGCCCCCACATTCCAGCCATGGTGACTGGCATTTTCCCCACATTTGAAATAGGGTTTTGGTGATGGAGAACGGGCTTGTAAGGTGATGGTCTAGGCTTGTTTGGCCGTCCCTTGGGCAGTTCTGGTTGAGACAGGACACGAAAGTTTCCAGCCCCAACACCTGCAGCACACAACAGGTGGAAGGTGAGCGCTCCAAGCAGGCAAACTCAAGAACAGAACAGCTTTGGCCTTTATTTAAATGCACCAATTCCAGGAGGATAGGTCCCAGGCCCCAGGAAGTCGTGACTATCCATTTGTCCTCCTGTGTCCTGGCGTTGGAGTGCCCTCTGAAGTGGGGAAAGGGGGACTGAGGTGGAGGGTTGGGGAGTTCAGAATGAGAGCCCACACAAGGCTGGCAGGCCTAGAAGCTCATGGTATTCAGACTTAGGGCAGAGTTTTCCTTCTGGCGACCTCTTAGGGCTCTCCAGGTCATCACTGCACCAACACCAACCACCAGGCCGCCTCCTGCCGCCACTGGCATGGCCCAGGAGAGCACTGGGGGTTCTGTGTCAGCCTGGTCTTGGAGCAGCTGACTGTTCTTCAGGGTGCGGAGATAGGGGTTCTCCTGTGGAGGAGGTGAGAGTTCTGGGTCAGGGACCGGAAAACCACCCATCTGAGGCTTGTGTGGTCCCCATCCCAGTGAGGGAGCAATGGCCTTGTTTCCACAGCCTATCTCTTGTTTGTAAAGCTCCTTCAGCCACACTGAGCCCAAGCCCCTTGAATGAGGAGGGGTATCCAAAGTGGATACCGTTTTGGTTTTGGTTTTTGGTTTCTCACCAGCATCTCCTTTCCTGTCAACTCAGTTTTGAATGATCAGGAACTGATAGGTGACCCATGGAAGGGAGACCTGGGCTTGCTGGCAGAGCCCCTACCTCTCTTTTCTCTAGGCCTCCGCTGGAGAGCTACTTCCCTCCTCCCATCCCAGGGGTGCCTGTGAATGGGGAAGGTTGGTGTGGAAGGACAGCTGGTTCTGGAGTGGACTAAGCATCCCAAATGCAAACGGTCTGCCTCCCTGGATCCTTTCTGTTCCCCCGGTGAAGGCTGATGGCATGCTGGCACATGTTGGGAGCTCAGAGAGTGCCTGAGGGTTGAGATGTGATGTTGTTTGTGGCCCATGTGGGGGACGAGAAGTGTTTAGAAATAATCACATCACCAAGGGGCCTGGGTCAGGGCTTGGGAGAGGCAGGCAGAGAAAAGACACCAACACTGGGGTGGGAGTATAGAGGAGATAGGGTGAACAACAGCAGAGAAGGGGCAACACCTGGGCCTTGTAGGATGTGAACATTTTCCAAAGGCGGAGATGAGGGATGAGCTTCCAGGGGAGCAGATGGCGGAAGTGGAAGCACAGATGGGGGCCATCATGGGTTTTGTTTGGGAAGCGGCTCCGTATTCCAGGAGCGGAGTTGTGCGTCTAAAGTGATACAGGGAGGTGGGTCTCCAGTCTGGACTCTCTTCGGTGGGACATGGGGACCAGGGAAAGGTTTCAAGTAGTCTTGACAAGACTGGAATTCCTTCCAGGTATGCCACTCTGTGTCTGGCAAGATTACAGGATGGACAGAGAAGAGCCAGGGAAGGGGGGCTTTGTCAGTGGTCTGGTGAAGGGTGTCTGGGCCTGGACACTGGGGGTGCTGGCAAGCCAGAAAGATGATGCAGGCACCCAGCAGAGACATGGTGTCTTATTTCTCTGCCTTGCAGCCCCCAGTACCAGGAGCATGCCTGGTGTGGGAGGGCTCCTTGGTGCATGTTTAAGGCAGAGGATGCCTCAGACCCTCCGGGATCATGGTGGGTGATGAGGGTCTGGCCAGTGTTTGCTCATCTGCCTCCCCTGGGCCTTGTCCTGCTTCGGTGAGCCTGTGCTTTCTCCCTTGCCTCACTCCCAGCTGATCGCCTGAGGACCTGAGAAATGTCAGGGGCAGGCAGGGGAGGTGAGATTTGAGAAGGGTGGTCGTGAATGACCATGTCCGATGGTAGAGCCTCCCAGGGGACTTTGGTGCCTCCAGGTGGCCAGGGCCCTCCTCCCCCAACTCAGACACCTGCTGCATACCAGACAGAAGGGATCTTACTCACAGCAGAGGGGCACTTGAGCTTGGTTCGGCTGTAGGTGAAGTTGTTGGAGGTGGTCTTATGGCCCACGGGTTCTAGCTGAAGAGAGAAAAGGAAACCTTGATTTCCTCCCAGGCTGAGCACTCCCCCGCTGTTGGAGGGAGGAGTGTCTCACACCAGGTTCCCGCTTTTGCTGAAACCAGCAAAGGGGCAAGACCCACGGCCGACATTCACCACCCTGAGGCCAGAGCTGGACCTGACTTCTGACTCAGAGATTGGCAAATCAGAGGCCATCAGAGCAGAGGGACCCCGAGTTCGTATCTGGGATTTACTGCGGAGGACACTGAGACCCAGGGGAGTCTGAACCGTTCAGAGGCCTCAGCGAATGATGAGTCAGGGTAGGAGGAGGCAGGGCTCAGGACCTCCATCTCCTGCATCCCTGTGGGTGGCTGTGAATGCAGATACTCTACATTTTCAACTTTACAAAATGGTGATGAGCATATTTCCCAACTTCTTGAAGTGTCTGGGGATAGTCAATTTCAGGAACACTTTGAAAATGCACTGGTTACCATGACATCATTACTACGCTTGACTTGTTGATCCTTAAGAAATTGGAGCTTTCTTGCTTGAGCTACTTTTGTGTGTTTTTTGTATAGATGAAAAGGTTTACTTGAAATCTCCTGGGGAGCAATTATGGTTCAGGTTTAGCTTAATGCGTTTGAACCTGGGACCTTCTGAGAATGAGTTGGAGGCTGCTGTAACCTCCTCCCCAGCATCTTTAGCCAATACCCTGCCCTGTGACACATGGCCTGCACCAAGGAGATGGATCCCTGGCACTCACCTATCCAGACTCCATCCTGAACATCTGACCTCCACCCATCCCATGATCTGCTCCCCGCCTGTTCCTGACCTCATCAGTTCCTGATACCCAGGTACTGCTCAAGAGGGAAGTGCAAGTCCACGATGCCAGCTAAGACCACACCTGGCCCAGGACCTTGCTTTTTGTTGTCTTAAAGCCTTTTTGTACCTGTTTGCTAGTAACAATTAGAGGAGGACAGGGTGCTCTGGTCCTGGGAGAGATGCTGCTGTGAATGGACAGAGCACAGTGGGCTCATGGGCTGGGGTCCTGGCTCTGCTAATAATGCTGTGTGGGGCTAGGAGGACTCCAGAACTGCCCCAGGGTTAGGGGTGGGGCATTAAACTGTGACTGGACAGCTCCACATCTGGTGTCTGTAAGCATCAAATGAGAAGATGAAACACGTGTGAGCAGGAGGTGGTTTATATAGGTAACAAAGCATTATTTCTGTTGTAACAGAACCATCTAGAGACAGAACAGATGCTACAGATCAGGTTGGCTGACTCCCAGTGATATTCCAGGAACCTAGGAACTAACTGGCGTAGAGGAAGGTGATAATCATATGGTTTTGATGACTGCATCCGTTTCTGTGTTTCTACTGGTTCTTTGGGCTTGGTACACAATCTACTGTATCCTCTGTCTCCCAGGTTGAATCCCCTGCCACCTCTCCACCAGCTGCCTTCAACTTTTTTTTTTTTTTTTTTACTGCCTTCACTCTTATTCCCTATAGTTCTAGAAGGGTAGTTTTTAGCCCCTGTTGCACTTCCCAACAAAGGAACATCTAGTCAAAGCTTTGGTTTTTCCAGTAGTTATGTATGGATGTGAGAGTTGGACTATAAAGAAAGCTAAGCACTGAAGAATTGATGCTTTTGAACTGTGGTGTTGGAGAAGACTCTTGAGAGTCCCCTGGATAGCAAGAAGATCCAACCAGTCCATCCTAAAGGAAATCAGTCATGAATATTCATTGGAAGGACTGATGCTGAATTCCAATACTTTGGCCATCTGATGTGAAGAACTGACTCATTGAAAAAGACCTTGATACTGGGGATAATTGAAGGTGGGAGGAGAAGGGGATGACAGAGGATGAGATGGTTGGATGGCATCACCGACTCAATGGACATGAGTTTGAGTAAGCTCCAGGAGTTGGTGATGGACAGGGAAGCCTGGTGTGCTGCAGTCCATGGAGTCGCAAAGAGTCAGACATGACTGAGCGACTGAACTGAACTGCACTTCCCAATCTTCCATTCTATCTGTCTCTCTCACTTGACTCAAGTTCTGGTCAAGGTCACCAGTGATCTCTATATTGCTGGATTCAGTGCTCACTTTCTTTTTTGTCTTGCTTCACTTTTCAGCAGAATTTGTCCAAGTTGATGCTTCCTTTTCAAAACACTTCTCTTGGCTCCCAAGATACAGCACTGTTATTTCCTTCCCCCCTGCTCCTTCTGTCCTTCTCATCTGTTGCTAGACCGAAAGTTGGAAGAAAGCCCCAGGGTTTGGTGGTTTGCCCTATGCTTTTTTTCCCCTAATCTTTTTCTAGGAGCCTCTCAGTCAATTCTGTGGCCTTGAATGGCACTTTTAGGCTAATCATCCCCACATTCTCTCTCCCCTCCGCCAAAATCTCCATTGCTGACTCCCTGAACTCCAGAATCATACATTTAACACATTTCCTGATTCCTTCAGGTGGACTTCTGGAAGGCAGCTCACAGTGACCATGTCCAAAATAAGAACTTTTGATTTTCCCCTCCCACCTGTATTTCTTTCTATGCACCTCAACTGTCCACCCAGATTCCTTGATCCCAAACTGAAGAGTCATCCCTTATTCCTCTTCTACCACCAACCAGTCCAAACCACATCCTAGATCCAACGACTTCCCTTCTCCACTGCCATCCCGTGGTCTCCGCCACCTTCACCATCCTGGACTTTCAGCAGCTTCCTAATGGTCAAGTTCCTCTCTTGCTTCCCTCCTATCCATCTCTATGTAGCAGTCAGAGGGTAAACCAGGTCGCATGGCTCCCCTGGTGAAAGCCATCCAAGGAGCCAGCCCTTGCTCTTGTCCACCTCTGACCTTGCTTCCTTCCCTCCAGCCACACTGGCCTTTACGCTCCTCACACACTTCAAGCTCATTCCTGACTCCTGGCCCACACAGGTCCAGTTTCCTCTGCCTGGAACACCCTGGCCTGAGACCTCAGCGTGCCTGGCAGCCTCTTGACATTCAGTTCTCAGTTCACATGTCACTCTCCAGTGAGGCCTCCCTCTCCCCACCATTTCTCTCTGTCACAGCACCCTGCTTTAATTTTTTAAAAGCCCTGAATGTGGTCACAAATTACCTTGTTGATTATTTTTTTTCATCTCTTTTTCCCACTAGACTGGAAGCTCCCCAAGAGCAGGACATCTCTTTTCCCCAGCACCTGGGGCAGCCCCTCTGGCATCGTGGTGCTCAGGAAATAGTGGCCTAGTGGATGGATGGATGAACTGGAGTCACACAGACCTGGAGCCCACAGGAAAGGGAGTTGTATTTGCTAGAACCCACCTTTCCTAAGGACAGATATGGTGGCTACAACAATGTGGCAAATGACAGGACTGAAACAGGATGGGTACCAGGGGGCTCTAGCCTGCTCTGGGGACTTGGAGAAGGCTTCTTGTTGAAGCTGGCACCTGAGTGCCAGTGCCAGTGTTGAGGTGGGTCAAGGCTAGCGAGGGGAAGGAGGCAGAAAGGGCAGCCAGAGAGAACGGGATGAGCAAGGGCAAACACACAGAGGCAGGAGACAGCATGGGTGGTGCAGGAAACTTCACTCCTTGCTGGATTGCCAAGTGCAGATCACTTGGTAGAAGTGGCTGCTGGAGAGGTTAATTGGGGCCAAGACCCGGAAGGCGTGGTGTGCCTGGCCTTTCTTCCCCAGTGAGGGGCCAGCCTCGGACATTTGAGAGCAAGGGCGTGACTTGGTCATATTTCATTTATGGAGAGCATGTGGTTGCCCTGTGGAGAGGAGATCTAAGGCAGTAGTTCACAAACCCTATGCAATGATCACCTGGGGAGCATCTAAAAGGCATTGAATCTAGATGCTACCCCAGACAAAGTCAGAATTTCTGGGGATCAGGCCCAGGCACTGTTTTCTTTTTAATTGAAGCTAACATACATATAGAAACAAATATAGAAAATGAGTCACTGATAAATTATGACAAAATGAACATACTTACATAGTCAGCATCCAGGTAAGGAACAGAATACGATCAACACTCAAAAGCTCCCTCCTGCTCTCTTCTAGCACTATCCACGTCCCAATAAGACCATGTATATATCTGCTTGTTTTTGAAATTTATATATATAGTTGTATGTTGTTAAAGTTTTAGTCTCATTGCTGTGAGGTTATTCTATTGCATGAATGTGCTGTTTGTTTACACATTCTGCTACTGGTAGACATTTGGGGGTCATGAATAGTGCTGCTATGAAAACTCTTGTCCATCTTTTGGTGAAATGTGTGTATACCTTTCTGTTGGGGATATACATGGGAGTAGAATTGTTGGGTCATAGGGAATACGTGTGTTCAGCTTTAGTAGATATACAAAGTGGTTGTAGGTATTCATTATTTTTAAGAGCCCCCAAATAACTGTAATACACAGCCAGAGCTGTTTTAACAGCTATAAGCCTTGGAGATAGGGACGCCAATTAGGAGGCTAGCATTGTCTCCTGATTTGTGTTAGGGGAGATGCCCAGGGAGATGTCAATGTTAGAAGAGATTAAGATTTCCACAAAAGAGGGAGCAGGCAGCAGTGGAGGAATAGTTATCAGAAAAGAGGCAGCGAGACTGTTGGTAAGAAGAAAAAAGAAAAAGGAAGAGAAAAACATGCCCTAGTGCTGTTTTAGTTTCTGGCTTTGCAAAAGTCTCTGAAAAAGGAGGCAAAAACTGTTCCTAGAGGAGGGGCATGAGCTAGAATAGTTTCAAGAGCGTCTGTTGCCACAGTGGGGCACCCAGGGTATCAGCCAAAGCCTGCAGACACTATGTCATAGGACTCTAATTATGAGACATGAATTCACTGGTTACACATGTGCTTATCAGGCTGGTGCTGTAGCCAGGATGCTTGGTGATTAGACCTGAGTTCTAATCCTTGTTCTGCCACTTGCTGGCTGTTTAACCCTTCACAAATTGTTCCATGTCTCTGTATTTTAGTTACAGAGCATTCTGGCTTGATGACCTACCTCTAAGATCCTCTCCAGTCCTATTGGTTTGTCACTTATTTTATGTCACTCTAGGGGTGAAATTCCAGGAAGAAGATGACCTGAGAAGTTGGCACGATGCTGTAGGTTTATATCTGAGATGCTTTTGGAGGAAAACACTGGACTATGTAATTATTCCCACAAGTCATATAGCACAGGATAACATACTCGTAGATTGTTTTAGGTTTGTTTTGCTTTGTGTTTGCTGTTTTTTTAAATTTGGGGTATGGCTGGGGAGCTATGAACAGTCTTGTGGTAGTAATAATATGTCTCCATGCTGCATTTGCCTTTTGTTTTCAGATCTAAATCCCTTCCACTTGCTTTTATGAAACAGAAGCATTTAATGGGAAGACCTACTGAGCTGCTTTGGAAGAGAAAGGCCAGAACTACTTTAAATCGTGCAGAATGAGACAGGTGGGTCCTGTAATGCTCAAGTCATCAATATGGCCATCGGTCCCAGGAGACTCCAAATACCCCCAGGTAGGAAAACCATACCCTGATGGGGACACTGGGAGAGAAAGGCCAAGGGCTTAGCATTCCCGCTCCTCCTTGGAATCCATGGATTCCCCCAGGGTTACAGGGGGAGAAAAGAAACCATGCAGAGAGATCCAGGCTTTACTGGGGCAGATGTGCAGGGTGGTTAAAAGCATGAAGTTGAATGACTAAGTCACTGAAAGACAACTGGACTTCAAAGCAAAATATCATCAAGAGAAACACAACTGCTCCCAGGAATTATACTGTTTTAACTTTGATTTAAAAAATCCACTGTGGAAGTAGGGTTGGGAGAGAACTCAAAGTGTTTTAATTGCAATTCCCGGTCCTGGAAGGACAAAGATGACGAAAGTTCCAGGAGTGGGCAGACTGTGATGTCAACAGGAGGGAAACACCAGGAAAACACAAGCAGAGGGAGGTTGAGCCTGCAATTAAGTAGGCCAAGGAGAAAACCTCCTTACATGCTGTTCTGAGAGGAGGAGGAGGAGGTGGTGTAGCTAAGGAGAAAGTCAATATTGTGAGTCAGCCGAGGAAGATACTGGCCACGCTGGCGGAGCCGACAGGTGTGGGAATGTTTGCATAGTGATGCCTGGCAAAGTCACAGTGGGCCTGAAGCTGCAGGGAAAGGAGCAGGCGTTTGGATGGTTTAATCACTATGGGAGAAAGGAGAGAACATGCAGGTTGGGGTGGGGATTGGGTTACCCGCTGAGCCCAGATCAAAAGAAGCCAGTGGACTGGAAAGGCATTTCATTTGCTCTGCACAAGAGGATACAGTGCTCAGGGTTACTTGTCAAGCTCTATGCAAACATAGCTGACTTTCCAGTCATGAGTGGCTAGCTCTAAAGGGTAGAACAAGGCACAGGGCTGTGGCCCCTGGGCTGTACCTTCATTTCATTAGGTTCCCTTTTCCCCCCACCAGAAAGGACTAGGTGGCAGCCTGGGAAAACTGGCTGAGCGGCTCTTTTTAATGTTTAAAGAAATAACAGTAGGGGGTGTGGGGATTATTGTGCTGGATGCAGTACACACATTATCTCTAAGATCTGTGTCACTTTTGTTGTTTTTGTAGATACAGATACGGCGGATGGCCAGTGTGTACATAGTCATTCAGTCATGTCCGACTCTTTGTGATCTCATGGACTGTAACCTGCCAAGCTCCTCTGTCCATGGAATTTTCTGAGCAAGAATACTGGACTGGGTTGCCATTTCCTACTTCAGGGGATTTTCCTGACCCAGGGATCGAACCCTGCATTGGCAGGCAGATTCTTTACCACCCACACCACCTGGGAGGCCCACAAATGGCCAGAAGTGGGCTCAACGGCCCAAGATCACACAGTATAAGGGTTGATGCTGATATTTTCATCTAGTCTATCTGATGACAAAGTTATCCCCCAACAGCACTGAGAAATTACAGAAATACATGAGCTGCCCTATTGAACTCTGGGGAGAAAGGAGCCATATCAACCAATAGGTTTTTCTTTGTGGGAAAGTGTCCTCGGCTGTACCCGTGACCCAAGCCCACTCGACCCTTAGGTACTGACCATGTTATTCCAGAGAGCGATGGCCATCTCTGCATGCCCACGTTCTGAGAAGTGGAAACAGTCCTCGGAGAAGAAGGTGAGGTCAGCGTCCCCTCTCTGTGACCAAAGGAAGGGGGTTATCTTCTTGAGCTGAGAGCACTGCTACCTGCCCAACCCCTCTGCCCCAGGCAGTGGCACCCTGGGCATTCCACCTTCCATCCTTTCATTTCTGCTGCCAGCTGGCTCAGATATTGATGGAGAAACTACCTAGTTTTGGAATTTTTATGTTTTAAAAATTTGTAGCAACCTAATTGTTGTGGCTAAGTTGTGTCTGACTCCTCTGGGACCCCATGGGTTGTAGCCCATCAGGCCCCTCTGTGCATGGGATTTCCCAGGCAAGAATACTGGAGTGGGTTGCCATTTCCTCCTTCAGGGGCTCTTTCTGACCCAGGGATTGAACCCAGGTCTCCTCCATCGGCAGGCGGATTCTTTGCCTCTGAGCCACCACGGAAGCCCATAGCCACCTACAGTCCATCACTTTTTCTTCAGCATCCCTGCCCTAATAGTTGAAAAGAATATTTTGGGGAAGCTTTCATTTTATTCCAACCTGGCAAATATCAGGGCCATACCTGGGGAGCTTGGTCACTATTAATTTTCACATTTTCTTTCCAACTACATCTAAGTTCAAGTAATACTCAAAACGGGGGGAAGGTACATTCCCCAAGACAATGGTCGCTATACACGTGCCCCCCAGCTGCTCACCTTGTTCAGGGGGACAAGGGTGTTTTGGAAGAAAGGTTGTACAACCACGGCGAAATCCTCACGCTGCAGGTACTGGTAGGAGAGTGTGGACAGGGCACTCTAGGGATGGGGAGAGAGGCGTTCAGTCCCACAGCGAGGCTGGACAGACGGGCTGTCCCTGAGGCCTCGGGTGGGTCATGTCAGGGCCAGGAGACCCAGAGGAGCTGCTCTGGTGCACAAGCATCCACCTAGGCTGCACCAGGCATGGACACCACCCTGCTCTCACTGCATGAAGAAGTGGATTAGAACACGGGACTCCAGTCCCAATGGGGAACTTTTCAACACCAGCTCCTTGACATGCCTTAGACCTTAGGATGAGTAGCCACAGTCTTGGCATTGCTTAAGTGCTCAAAGGTGGACTGTAAAAGGGATAGACTAGCTGTGCTCACCCTCAAGGAGCTGGTCATCCATCTGTGAGATGTAAAAGTCAAAATCATGTATGGCATTAGGGTCAGTGAAGTGCTGACTGAAGTTGCCAGCAGGGAGCTTAGGCAAGGGATGCTTCTCAGAGAGGTAAGAAGACAAAATTCTGAGCGTGAGATGGACGCGCTGCAGAAAGGCCCAGGCGGGCAGGTCCGGGGAGAGGACAGCAAGAGCAGAGACAGACATGAGAAAGTAAGGAGGGAGGGAGACCAAGGGCAGTGAACACAGCCCATCTCTCCTCGGCGGGGGGAGGGCGTTGGGGGGTGAAGGAGTGATGCCTCCTCTGAGAGTTGAGAGGAGGGGTTTCTCCCAGCTTCCCTTCTGATCTTCTTACTCCCCTCCCCTGATGTTGGTTTACCTGGACACACATTTCAGGGGCTGTGATCTCCCTTTAGGAAGTGGCCTTGCTCTCAGCAGGCCAATTTCCCAATCCTGCTTCAGGAGTAAAGAAGAGGGTGGGGAGAGAAAGGGGGGACAGGGTCACCTGGAAGTCCCAGTTCACTGTCTTCAATTCTTGCATCTCTGGCAAGTTCTCCTGGGAGCCTTGGAGGCAGGTGCAGTTGCTCCTGTGGGGTGAGGAGTCCTGAGGCTCAGGGACCCTGGGAGGCTGCCTCCACCCCCTCCATCCACACAGGTGCCTCCCCCCCCGCCACAGACTTGCTGCCTCTTGGGCCAGGGTCAGAGAAGCATGACTCAGGTCCATGAGATCCAGAAGGTGCTTATATTAGGAGAGACGGCAGAAGGGCTGGCAACAGTGCCTGGGGCTCCTGTGGACAGGCCGTCCGTTTCCTTGGCCACCTGACTATTCCCTAGCCTGTGGCTCCTGGAGTTTCTCCAGGGGGGCTGGGGTTTTGGGAAGATTCCCAAAGTGGCCCAGCCTTTCTTCCTCATGTTCCCGAGGCCTCCCTTCTCTACCTTCAGCTGCTGAGGACTCTCCTGTAGGAAGATGCTCTTGGGCAGCACTGGCTGCTCTGTGCATGGACCAGGTTCCAGGCAAGATTGGAACCAGCTGGTCACCTTCCCAACAAATCCATTTGATCCCAGATAGGGCTTCTTAGCCACCCCATAGAATCTCCTCCCCCAAAACAACCGTCACAGGAACTCTGGGCAACCCTCTGGCCTTAAAGAGGGCAACTTCCTGTAGGGTCAGAGCTGAGCTTTAACAAATTCCAGCCCAACCGAGATTCTTGCATGATGTAACTTAGCTCTAAGCCTGGCTTTCAAGGCCAGTCCTAAGAAGCACATTATAGCTACTATTTCCTGAGTGCCTACCCAAGGGGGACCATGCACTTTACATGTGTTTCCCCTAGATGTCACCGCTACTTCCCCAGGAGATTTTTACATGTGAGGAGTAAGAGGCCCAGAGAGGTTGTGTGGTTTGTACAAGGTCCCACAGCTTCTAAATGGCAAAGCCAGGATGTGAGGCCCAGTAGAGCTGTCTCAAAAGCTCGTCGCCTCGTGCTGCCTCTAAAATGGAACAACTTGCTGAAGTTGGGGTTTGGCATCACAGAAATTCTGGAGCCCTCACAGATCATTTCCAGAAGGGCAAAGTAAGGTCCAGAGAAATGAAGCAACTTGCATACAGTAGGCATTCAATAAGGTAACAACACTTTAGAATGGTTTTTCAAGCCCCTGGCTAATTGCTGATGTTTGCCCCTTGGACAGGACTGTCTGGCTCTGCCTGTCTCAGTCTCACCCGCTGGCATCTGATCCCCATTCTCCCTAGATGCCCTCGCCTTGGGACCACGTCCATCTACTTACTGGGCTGCCAATGGCATGACACATTTTCCATCTTGACCCTGGTGCAGGTCAGCCAGCTCCATGACCTCTACCACGTTGATGAAAGTCCGTGGAAGCTGCAGAGAGTAGAGGGGATGGGCTTCAGTAGTCCCCAGGCACTTACTGGGGAGCAGAGCTTACTGCTGGAAGGAGGTTGAGGGATCATCTAAAGTCTACTTCCCCCTCCCCAATTTTACCAATAAACTGAGGCCCAGAGAGGGAACGTGCCTTATATTATCTCATGGAATGGTCTTTATTGGCCCGACTTTATAGATTAGGAAACTGAGACAAAGTCAACTTGCCCAAAGTCACATGGCTAGGAAGCCACAGTGTCCAGCTATAAGTCAGGCCAACTGGCTCCAGAAGCAGGCTCTTTGCCACCCAACCAAGGCAGTCAGATCCAGTTAGATGCCACCCAACAGAGAAGCTTGGCAGCTGCCTCCCTCCCATCCCATCCATCCGGGTGCCTGCTCCTGGGGGACTCTGTGCAGTGTGCATCTCACTGAACCCAAGTCCTCTAGCTGCGCTCAGGGAGTGACCCCCGGTGAGCCAGCAGGCAGCCTGGTTGCTGGCAGGAAACAGGACCCGGGAACGTGCCGCTGGGCCTCCCTACCTGCGCGTAGAGGATGTCCAGGGCCTGCCGGATGTACTTAACATACTCCTCAGCAGAGCGGGCCTCCTGTGAAGAAGGAAGGGGCTCTGCTCAGCTCCTGGGAGGAGGGGGAGGAGGTGGCCTGATGCCCAGCACAGGCGGGTCCTGCACCAGAGGGAAGCCCAACCCTCGTTGCTGATGGACACAGTCTCTGGTAAGAAGTCACTCCTTGGGAACTTCTCTGGTAGACAGTGGATGCCAATGCAGGGAATGTGGGTTTGATTCTTGGTTAGGGAACTAAGCCTACATGCTGCAACTAGCAAGAAACCAGTGCCCAGCAACTACGGAGCCTGCTTGCTGCAACCAGAGAAGCCTGCAATGAAGAGCCCACACCCCATGACAAGGACCCAGCAAGGCCAAAAAAGAGGAAAGGAAAAGTTATCCCTTGATGCCTACTAGGTACCATCAACGGCCCCCACCCCACACTGCTCCATGGTATCTCTAACCCAGATCCTGACAGTGCTGGCCCCCCTGCCTGGGACCCTTTGCACTGCCTCCCCATCACTTCTACCCTTATAACTCAGCTTGAGGGTGTCCTCTTCTGGCCCCTCTCCCAATTGGAGGCTGATTTAGCCCCTTCCAAAAACATGGCCTGAATCCTGGTGGTGGCCCCAAGTCATTTCCACAAAACACTGCTCTCAGGAAGGTAAACCTGACTTTGCATGAAGACAGATCTTCTGGGGTCACTTCTGGCTTCCTGGACCCCATGGAGTGTAGGACACAATGACATTTAAAACCCCATGGGGTTGGATTACTTCTTCCTCTAGTCTGGGCAGAGAGGAAGAGAGGTCCCTGTGTGGGGGAGGCTGGTTCTCATCTAGAATTTGGGGACTGTCTCTCTGAGCCACAAGGAATGATAAATGTCTTCTCCCTGCTGCCTGTGACTGTCAAACATTCTAGCACAACCTCTGAGTTATGGCAGCTGCTTTTTTTTTTTTTCCTGGCCAAATAAAATATAGCTCATCCTCAACTTAGAACAAGATGAATTCCAGAAGTTATTA